TTCCAAAAATTGTCCAAGAACTTATTTAACATTTTTTGGGAATGTCCAAGGACTTATTTGTTCCAAAAATTGTCCAATGACTTATTTAACATATTTTGGAATGTTCAAGGACTTATTTAACATGTTTTGGAAAGTCCAAGGACTTATTTGTTCCAAAAAAAAGTTCAATGACTTAATCATTTCAAACAAGAAAGTTCATTGGTTTTTATTGTACTTTTCCCTAATTTATAAGAAAAACAACCATTTTTATGCAACAACAATGTCAAAATTGCAAAGAAAAATCACAAGTACCAGTTTTCCTAATCTCTTACACCTTAAATTCATATTGCAAGCTGCACCAAACAGTTTTCAAATAAGACTCAAAAATGGAATTCAAAATATATTTGGTACGTACTAGTCGTGTACTGGTGCACTGCAATGCAAGAGTTTATTGCAAATTGGAAATGAAAAATTAATACAAGACATTGAGAAATTTACCTGCTGAGAGGGAGAATGGTGTTGAGTTCCAGGAGATGACTGGGTTTTGGAGGCACTTCTATTTGGTGATGGAGTTCTTGAAGCAAGAGTTTGCTTCATTTCATGTAACTCTTGTCTCTGTGATCGACAAATACCAGATAACTTTTCATACTTGGAACTTAGTTCACTTTTCTCCAAATTAATCTGCTGCAGCTGTTCCCTTAATCTTTCTACCTCAGCCTCTAACTGCTCTTCTTTCCCAGTGTTAACATTACTTCTTCCAGGGCTGACTTTGTTAACGCTAAATTCAGTTGCAAAAGCATTGAAAGCGTCATTGGATTTTGCTTTCGGTCTCTCAGTAGCATGGCTTGGACCATCCTGGAAAAAGTTCATTTCAAAGTCCTTTGAAGGACCTGATTTTCCTTGCACAGTTTTTTGTGAGGGCCGGGGGGCATGAGGAGCTTCATCTTTTGGAGAACTAGTTCTGTGTAAAGAAAACCTCTCTGAACGACTCCTTTCAGCACCAGTGATCTCTTCATCAAATGTAACTTTGCTAAGCTCTTCAACAACAGCTGAATCCTTACCATGCTGAGTTGTCCAGAAAGCACCTATGGGCCCACCAGTTCCCTCCGTCCTCGAAGCAGGAACTGGTTGAGGTGCATTCCGAGCTAATTCTGCAGCTGTTGGAGGAGGTGGTGGGCTTCTGCGAGGCATCGGACTAGATTTATTTGCAGACCTTGGAAGACCTGGTAAACCACCATTACCAACAAAAGGTTAAATAAATTTCATTTTGCGTGAAGATACAATCATATTAGAGAAATACATTCTTGAGAGAAGAGAGAAAATTAAGAAAATCCTTGTACAAGGTATAATACACAGACAACCCCGTGAACATGTTAAAACAATTTTTCCAAGTTTTATTGGCTTACAAATTTGATCCGGGAAGACCTAGTGTATGAATCTCCTGTCTCTAAAGATTATGAAATTCTTATTTACCAATAGCGCCTTAATTGATCTGGGAAGACCTACAATATGAATCTCCTGTCTCTGAAGAATATGAAGTTTTCAAGAAACCACAACATACATGACATGGCAGGTACATTAAGAAAGAGGAGGAACCATTGGCAGATCTTCAAATTAGGCTACTACATATACCTACTTTGATGTCCATAAATAAAACAATCTTTAACTGAGAATTATTAGTGATTTGAGATTTAGATATTCTAAGGTGAAGTTCTGATATGAAAAAAATAGATGATCATATTATTCATGTCAAAAAGTGCAAGTTGTATTTTGGTCAACAATACCAAAGAAAGAACTGGATGTAATTTTGGTTTCTCACCTTCAGGCATGTCCGTTTGGAGCATTTCAGGGGGCCTATCTGGTAATGACTTCTGTAATCCATCAGATAATAGACCATTAACTCGAAACCACACCTGCATCAATCAAAGAAAGTAACATGAGTAAACATGGACATACACATGGGAGCTATGTTCCATGTACATATAATCTATAACTAACCTAAATTCATGGAGATGAATGTCCAATCAAGCAAAGCTCTTGCCTGCGTGATGTCTGGTCTGGAATCTGGTGAAGATTGTAGCATGTCCCTAATGAGATCGGTCACGGATGAGCTGTACTTCGGCAATTCTGGAATGCGATAATTTCCATTCAGAACTTGTAGCTTTGATTCACCATCAAATGCAGACTTGAAGTAGCAGATGCGGAAGAGGAGACACCCAAGGGCCTGCATAAAACGAAGGTTCAGCATCAGTATGGGGACAGGCCTAACTTGGTTCTTCTGGTAAAAGCTAAAGTGCTAGATCTATCACAGACGAATAAGGTCAACTCAACTGAACTTACCCAAATATCAACTTTCTCGCTTATAACTTCTCTCAGGAGCAAGTCCCACATCTGAATCAAGATCAAAAGATTAGAAAGGAATAAAAAGAAGATCTGATTATTAATTTTCCTGTCAGAAAGAAGAGTTCTTTATTAAACCTCAGGGGATCTATAGGCGGGTGTTGTGTGCTTCCTTATGTTGTCTTCTTCGATACCCATTTCTTCTGGCCTCTCAAAACGTTTATGATTCGTGGAGGTACTACCAAAATCACATAACTTCCATAATCCATCAGATCCAAGCAAAAGATTCTCCGCCTTCAAGTCGCTACAGTTGCAATGGAAATTGATTACTAAGCCGCAATAATAATTAAAGAGTCAGGTTAATTTGCTGTATGTTAAAACATGACAAATAGAATGCTTTCAAACAATTTACTCTGAAAGCATAGACCCACAAACTGCAATATGTATTATGTTTACCGGTGAGCAATGGGTGGTGACTGACAGTGCATTGCAAAAACGGCATTACAGACATCCCTAAATATTAGAAGTATCTGTTTCTCCTCAAAGAACCCTGCACCTCTGCTCTCCAGCACACTAACCAGAGATTTATCACAATATTCCATTACAAGGAGTGCTTCCTTCGTCCGCCCCATATCTAAGATAGTATGAGCACATAGCATGACAACATTGGGGTGTCCTTGAAGCGATTTAAGCACAGATATTTCTTTCCTCACCAGATCTAGAGATTCTTCATCATTACATATCATGTGTTTCAGCGCATACTGCTTTGAACCATTTAGAGCATCCTGAGCCAAGTAAACACAAGAGAATCCCCCCTCGGCTATGACATTGCGCACATGGATTTTCAGGTTTCCAATGTCAATCATACGACCTTCAAGCCCAGACTTCTCCTTAGGCATGAATTGCTTGATTCTCCACATGTCTGATAGCAAACAGATGAATCTGCATAATGTTGTTAACAATTAAGAATCACATATTTCTAAAGGTAAAAGTTAGTTTATATGCAAATCACCCAGATATAAAATTATGCTCCTAGTAACTTGATACAGAGTAGGCCACACATGAATCCATTACTGATCTATATTTGGAGTATATAACTCAATTTAGTTGTTAGAACATCAGTTATGTAAAAGGATTTTCGACGGGGGTTTTAGAGGGTGGATTCCTTCAGACATTACAATGAGTAACCTATTTATCCTCTTCCTTCGTCCATCCATTCCACTCGAGCGTCTTTAGACATAACATTGTTGGATAAACTTGCTAGCTCCGCACACTACTAGGTTAAAACCCGTTTCACCAAGAAGCTTCTCTCTAGCTTCCCTTCACCAATTTACTGGTGGCAATCTACTATTATCAAAGGGGTAGTTCCTTTCTTGTCTTCCCCAGAAACATCGAATGAAAAATATCCTGGATTTTCCATCAATATTTGAGTTAAAGTAACCCCTACTGAGTTTAATATTAATATTCTTATTTACTCGCCGGAAACTAATATGCCTCTCAATCATAACTGTTCCACATACTTCCAACAAGTTGTCAACCTGTTCATGATATACAAGCAAAAACTCAACATCCTTCACCATTATTTCCCCTTTCTTTCAATCGGTCTTTTAATCAACATGGTTAAAGGTCCAACCATGAAAAGCTTTCTCAAAGAATCTCAAACCCTCACGATAAATAGGTTTTCCTACAGCCAATTTTTGCACTATGTGACCACACTTGGTTGCACAAGGTTGTAAGAATCCACAACGCAATGATGTGTATAAAAATTTCATAGAAGTTACTGTCTGTACAATCAAGCATTGTGATTGTCATGTCCAAGTTGAGGATTATAGGTTATAACTCTATTGCCTTGTAACAAAACAGCCCACGCTCGAGATTATTGAACATCTCCAGTCTCCACGATATAAAACTTGTAATCCATTTTACTGAACTTAAATGCAGAGCAGCTTGAGTAAAACTTGCAGAGAACAAGAACCCATCGAAATAGGCAACACAACATGATTTCTGTGGGATTGTTATACGATGGAGTCTCCAAACACACTAATTAGAAAGGCTGGTGGGTGAATGTGGGGACAAGATGATAACCACTTGGGTCGTGACTTGGTAGTGGATGTCCTTTGCCATACATCTCTCAGGCAATATAAAAATGTAACCAGAGCCATCCTCCAATCACAAAATAATTTAACATACACTACCATTTTTATGCACCAGAAGAATGCAGGAACCTTGGGTTCAAAACATAAGGAGCTCCCATCTATATCTTCCCTTGTTTGAGATCAGATCCAATACTGAGCATATGCATCCTACTATAAATGAAAGTAAGAAGCATATGGGAGTTTTCCAGGACAGAAAATTTCCTTCTCATCCGACTATGGTTTATCAAAACGTAAAAAATTCTATCAAATCAACAACCTACATTTGGACAGACAACGCAAACAATGAACTTCTTCATTCTAACTTCCATTCAAAAGCTGGTTTTAACATCCAATTTATGCAAACAATACTTTCTTTTGTTTTTCTGGTTGTAAAGTTCTTCTAAAACCAACAACTTGCAATGGTTAAGCCATCCGTAATATGTTCAACTGAACATGGATTAAAATTTTTGTAACGAGTCATACTACTTTTAAGGTAGATTACAGAGAAAACCAGAACCATGCACTATTTTGTACTTGAAATGACCAAAAACTAGTTATGAAACCGCATCAGTGACCGCCCAAAGTGACATGAGGCAAGATCAACGTTTTGAATTTCAATTTTCGCTGATCAAAGCAGCATGTGGTTCTACAATCCACTCGATGCTGATCTGTACTAAAAATCAATAGTTTGAGTAAGCCCCCAAACAAATAGAATGAAAATACTTACATTACATGTCCTGATCGTGTAAAAGATTTTTGGAAAACTCGTCATCGCGTCGCGTCGCGTCGCGTCGCGTCGCGTCGCGATTTATAATCAGCGGTATAAAAAAAACACAGTAACGAACATAAGAGATCTGAGAGATTCGATAAATTTCCCATGCACATAACTTATTCACGTCCTTAATTCCACATGTCGAGTGAAATTGACAAATGGATCTTAGGATACAAAGACCTAGATCTATGTAAACTACTCCCATGGCAAGAATTATCAAGTCTAAGCACAAATAAAGTATAAATGAAGTCGAATGCGTTGTAAGACACTGCAAAAAAAATGAAGAACACCAAAATTGAGTAGTTAAAATCAAAAGAAGCAAACCTTGTGAGAGCGAATCGGATGGATCAGGGAACAACTAAAGCAGACTATTATTGTGGACTCCGCTTGTTTGTTTGCGCAAGATCTGAGATCAAAAGTGAGACTTTATTTGTGGCGATGATATCAAATGGAATCAATCAGTGGTTTTAGATTTGATACCTGATTGTGTTTTCGTAGATCTCGATTTGTAGCTTTGAACATAAGGAAACGTGAGAGGGAGAGAACAATGAGTGGTGGGGCGTCAAAAAGAGTGCTGAATGCTGATAGCGTATGATCACAACAATTTTACATGTATTTAACGGTGCCTCCACAGTAGTAATTGTATAACTATTTGTTTTGGACTTGGAAGCATTTTCAAATTCAAACATATTGCGTGGTGTTTGAGATTGATTATAAAAACGATTTATTGATTTATTTCGGTAAGACATCAGTAATAAATACTTTTGAGTATTTGGATAAATAATTTATATCAGTGTCAAACCGATAATAAGAAGTTTTTGAAGAAATTAAACACTTCTCACTTATAATAAGTTGATAAATGTTTTTATAAAAAATACATAAATTGTTTCAAATAAACAACCACAAACACCCCCTTGATTTTGAGGATTTCTTTAAAATAGAAAAAATATGAAGCGGAAGAAATTTTCTAATTTGAAGGTTTATTTAAAATTAATTATTTACGTGAACGAAATGATTTTTATTTATTCTACCAATGAGATTGTTTGAATTTAAATATTTAAAAAAATTATTAGTTGTATCGAATATTTTGAAAATATAATTAATTGTGTGATCTCTAAAATAGAGAATATGTTAGAGATGAAGCTAATTTCTTTTTAAAAGTTTTCCTTTTTTACTTTTTTATTTTGAAAATTTTGTTGTGATGCTTTTAAAAACTAATTTATTCATGACAAATTACAATTAAGTCGTGTTAAATCAAACATTAAAAATATAAAAAAACATGTATTGACGTTGATGTGTTTGATAATGATATTAATAAGTAATGTACTCATGTACATATGTCAAATAATATGTGTACATTTAGGCATTGTTTGGTAAAAATAAGTTAGTTTATTTGTTGGGTATACGTTGGATGCATATAAGCTAACTTATTGAAACATTACTTGAAATAATGTTTTTCGTAGCTTATTGTCATTTTTTTACTAGAAGGGTACTCGCGCAATGCAGCGAGATACATTTTAATATTTCGTTTTATATTTTGGGTCTATCAGTATTATGATGCTATGCAGTTTTGAGAACAAAAATGTTTTTATTTTGAATATATCATAAAATTTTAAAAAAATTAAGCGATATTAGTATTAAATTAACTATTTAAAAGTTCTAATTTTTGTTTAATTTCTTTGATTTAAATTTTTAGTGAAATTTAAAAACGAATTAATTTATATTTGGTTTAATAATATATTTTTTATAAAGATAATAATTAATTATTTTGTTAGAACTCAATAATTATATTGATTTTATTTTAAATTTTTTATATTTTAAAATGAGATGTTTATCCTCTATTTGATTATGTTTATCCGCAATTAGTTACACGAATTCAAACATGGAGCTTTAATAAGTTGTACTTATGTACAATTTACTTGTAATCTTGAATTTTAAGTAATATACATCAATAAACATTATTTCATGCATAAAAACGGTTTTTAAAAGTTTTTGTCAAATGCCATATAATATAGTATAAATAATAATCCTCATTAATGTTAATTATTATTTATTACTTTTAATTATAAATAAATATTAATAAATTTTAAATATTACTAATATTAATTAATATAAACATTAATATTAGATAAAATATTTTATCATATACGTTAATTTTTTTTTCTT